CAATTGTTTACAGACAAAAACTAAGAAAATCTCTCCTTGACCTCAACTGAAAAGAATTTCCTTCTATCAAAGGACCGGGAAGCACTCTTATTACTAGTTTGTACAATGCGGGCCATGAGATGCTAAAAGATTATAAGTACAACATGAAAGAATAACAACCAAAAATGAGAGGAATTATAAGCACACTGAAAGAAATGAAAAAACACCTTCCTATTTATAAAACTCAACTAGTGTTACGATGATGCCAAGAATGGTGTTGCAATGTTGAGAAAGACTAAATGACAAAAATGGTTAAATTGGCATTGTAACTGTAATGTGAATCAATAAGTAGTAATGTGGTGGTTGGCATTGCAAATTGAAGTGCTAGCTTTTTTACTACTACTTCTCCACAACATTTTGACACATACAAGCATTACAACATTTGAAACTAATTATCATCGTAGTGCTCCAGATATCTAATTATGGTTTGACTTAACATTACAGTGATTTTGGTTGCAATGCGATGCATAAGAATGAAATATAATGAAAAGGTGTGCATGTATAGTAGAATTAAATTCAACATCTCACCAATATGTATATTAATGATTTAGCATCATGGTGCTGCTTATGCTAATGTTGAAGCACTTTCCTAAGACTACAATGTAGTGAATCCATGTTCAGATGCTATGACACTTGATAGGCAAACCCTCTAGTGCTCTAAAACCTAATGTTGTGGTGCTAGTTCAATTTTAACTCATGACATAAGATGCTAAAAAAATATGTTATTAAAACATAGTCAAAGCCATAATTTGTAGACTCATAATAAACACATTCACATAATATTTTCATAAATATTAATAAAAAAAAAACATAAAACATCAAACAATAAAAAACAATACTTCACACAAACAACATAACAAAGAATTCTTTACAACAACAAAATTGTGTTGAATCTAAAGTAGCGCTATATTTATTATCTAAGCCATAATTTTCCTAAGTTTTTTTTTTTTATTTTGGCTATACAACATCACTAAAATTCCTCAAATTCTCAAAAAATTAATCTTTCCATTGTTTCCTTATGATTTATTTCTGTGGTAAAAAATAAGGTTCCATGGGGCCCACTGTTGAAGGAAATTGCTAACTACACTAATAGATTCTGCATGCAAATTTCTAATGGTAACATCTTGGCCTTACAACTAGTGTTCCATATGAAGTACTAGCACTAAATACTCAAAAGCTTCCTTTCTATCTTTAAATTTATTATTTTGATAAAAGCTTGGAAGGTAAGATAGTCTAGGGTTCACTAAAGGATGTTAAAGGTTATTCCAAGATCCAACAAGATTGGGTTTATTAACATTCCATTATTATTATTCCATTTAAAATTAGAATTGTTCCTCCAACTTAGATTACAAGTATTTAAATAAGGATTATTAAGTATTCCAATAACATTTACATTCTTAATCCCTTGAAAACTAAACTCATCAACAGAACTCAAGTTATTCCCCTCCAAATGTATAGGTTATTCTGATAGACAATTATCTCCATAATTTTATTTATTTTGCAAGATGATGATTATATTCTCTTGTACTGTGATGAGAATGATAAAATATATTTTGTTTTTAAATGTTATTGATTTCTTCCTTAGGCTAAACTACGTGTTTTATCAAGTCATAGTTTTTTTTAAAGGTTATTCTTTTATTTAGGATTGATCACATTTTTTTTTATTAGAGTCAATTTTTTTATTTCATAAGTTTATTGCGTATTCTTGTTTAACAAAAATTTAATTAATCTTAAGAAGATAAACTAGTTTACCCCAACCCCAAACATCTTTGGTGTGTCGCACACATCATATTTTACATGAAGAATTAGTAAAATAGTATTATATTGTACACGAAGAATTAGTAAACTAGTGTTAACTAAATTGGTAGGAGAGATGGCTAAGAAAATTGATAGTTTAAGATTTAAACTTTGATATTCGGGTATGAATCATACTGAAATGTTGTAGGTGTTATTATAGATAAGAGTTTGAAGGATAATGTTATAAAAATTAATAGGATTGGATATATAATTATAGTTTTAAATATTTTTGTTGATGTTATGATTATTAGTATTATAAGTGCTTATGCTCCTCAAGTAGGTTTGAATATGAGTTCTAAATTAAATTTTTGGAATGACTTAGAATAATTAATACAAAAGATACCTCTTGAAGAAAGAATTTTTATTGGAGAAGATTTAAATAGACATGTTGGTAGAGAGGTAGATGATTTTAAAAACATTCATTGTGGCCATGGGTTTGGAATGACAAATGAAGGTGACAAGACCATTTTAGATTTTTGTTTAGCTTATTATTTTTTAATTGCTAATACCGTATTTAAGAAAAGGAATGAACATCTCATTACTTATAAAATAGATATAATATAAATAAGATTGACTATTTTCTTATAAGAAAATTGGATAATTTAGAATATAAAGATCATAAACTTATTCCGAGTGAAAATTTATGTACTAAATATTGATTATTAGTTTTAGACTTTAAGATAAAGGGGTGGAAAATAAAAAATAAAGTAAAATAATATTCTAGGATTAGATGGAGGCATTTAAAGAATATTAACAAAAATATTTTTGAGAGTAAGATTTTAGATCTTAAGATTTTATCTATGTATGAGGATGTTAATGTTATATGGAACAAAATGGTTAGTGATATTAAGAATATTGCAAAAGATGTGTTTGGAGTATCAAAGGAAAAAGCTCATATTAATAAAAATAGTTGGTGATGGAATTTAAATATATAAGAAAAGATTAAAAATAAGAAGATTTGTTATAAAAATTAGCTTAATTTTAAAAATTTTAATTATTGGGAAAGATATAAAGAGGTTTGTAAGAAATCTAATAAAGCAATATGCAATACAAATACCTTAGCTTTTAGTGACTTATATAATAGATTAGATACTAAGGAAGGAGAAAGATATATGTGTAAGTTAGCCAAACAAAAAGATAGGAGTAGTAAGGATTAAGTTCAAGTGAAGTGCATGTATTAAGGAAGAAGATTAAAAATACCTTTCTTAGAAGATGATATTCGACAAAAGTGGATGAGACAGTTTGCTAAACTTTTTAATGAATATTTTGAAAATAAGATTAACTGTAGTGACCTTAGCACCCTAAATGAAAATAAAGATTTCTGTCTTTATCGGCGTATTAATAAAATTGAAATTAGAGAGGCTTTAAAGAAAATTAAGGATGAAAAAGTTGTTGGACCTGATGATATTCTAATAGAGGTGTGGAATTAATGCTTAGGAGATGAAGGAATTTCTTCGTTTACTAAACTTTTTAATACTATTTTGAAAACTAAAAACATGTCAGAAGAATGGTGAATGAGTGTGTTAATTTTATTTTTAAGAATAAATGTGATGCACTAGATTGTGCGAATTATAGAGGAATTAAGTTACCGTGTCATACTTTAAAACTATGGGAGCGAGTTATGGAGCATAGGTTGCGGTGTGATGCTAATATTTCTAAAAATCAATTTGGATTCATGCTGGGTAGGTCGACTATGGAAGCTATACAGTTATTAAGAGGTTTGATAGAGAAATATAGGGAAAATAAGGAGGATCTACATATGATTTTTTATTGATTTGAAAAAAGCATATGACAAAGTTCTATGGAGAGTTCTTGAAAAGAAAGGAGTTAATAACACTTATATTCAAATCATTAAAGATATGTATGTAGGAGCTATGACTTGTGTTCAAACACAAGATGGTTTGACCAAGTGTTTCCCTATTTCGGTTGGGTTAAATTAAGGATTAGCCTTAAGCCCATATCTTTTTATTTTATTCATGGATGTTCTCACTAGACATTTGCAAGATGATGTACCTTGGTATAGGCTTTTTGCTGATGATATTCTTCTTGTTGAGACTAGAGAGGAAGTTGAAGGTAAACTTGAATTATGGAGGTCGACCTTAAAGTCTAAAGATTTTTGCTTTAGTAGATGTAAAACGGAATATATGGAGTGTAATTTTAGCAGTAATATACCTGGTGAGAGGATTGTAACTTTAAGCGATCAAGTGATTAATAAGAATACACGTTTTAGATATCATGGTTATATTGTTCAAAGTGATGCATGGTGATGTAAATGGGGATATTATCAACAGAATTCAAGTTGGATGGTTGAAGTGGAGGAATGCATTGGGCTTGTTGTGTGATAGAAAGTACTCAAACTTAAGGGAAATTTCTATAAGATGGTGGTGAGGTCTGTAATTGCTTTATGGTGCCAAATGTTGGCCATTAAAAGAGAAGCATAATACTAAGTTAAGTGTGGCAGAGATGAGGATGCACAGGTGGATGAGTGGCTTTACCTTTAGAGATAGGATACAAAATGAGCATATACGTGAAAAGGTTGGAGTAGGTCCAGTAGAAGATAAGATTGGAGAGAGTCGACTTAGATGGTTTGGTCATATAAAACGGCGGTCTTCTGATGACCCGGTTAGGAGAGTAGAGGTATTAGATTTGACTTATGTTAAGAAAGGTAAAGGCAGACCTAAAAAGACTTGGTTAGAAAATATTAGGAATGACCTTTCTTTATTAGATTTAAATAAGAATTTGACTTTTAATAGGACACAATGGATAAAAAGTATTCATGTAGTCGACCCCACGTAGTGGGATAAAGGCTTGATTTTGTTGTTGTTGTTGTTGTTGTTATCTTGCACAATAAGAGGTGAAGGAATTGTTAACAATGCATCTTTTAAAACATGACCATCGGTGAAATAGGAAATCTGATCAGTTTTAATTTTTGATTAAAACTTGACTTGAAATGAATAATAAAAGAGGCATGAATAACATAAAAAGGTTTACAGCACATGACACTGTAGTTTATCCTGTTGATTCCCTCGATTTATTTGAAAACCAAGCCAGCCCTTTTTTAATTTTGTTCTCAGCAAGAAGTTACCATCTCTTTACTTTTATCACATCCTTTTCCTTTCCTCTCCTTAAACCCCACTTTATTCCTTCCCTATGTCCTCGACTCACATTTAAACGATCCCACTCCGATTCCATTGTGTTCTCAGCCCACTTCCTTCAATCTCTTCCTCCATAAAACTAACCCCATTACAATCAATTCAAAGAGAACAAAGATAATTCTGATCATTCAATCGCTTCATGTTATATATGGCAGATTTTCCTTCTGAACTAAGCTTAGACTACAATCCAACTACCTACTCTATGAATCAGGACCAGAAATCATATGGAGAACAAGCCGAACAAATGCAGAAACTCCAAGAGCTTCTTGTTCGGCTTGAGGACGAGAGGCTCAAAATTGACGCCTTTAAGCGTGAGCTCCCTCTTTGCATGCAACTCCTCAACAATGGTAACGACAAATACAACAACTCTTATTTTATTCAAACTATATATCATCTCATTATCTATCAGCCTTTCATAATATTTTGTCTCTTATGTATTTATAAATATTTAGCCATGGAGGCTTACAAGCGCCAATTAGAAACATACCAAACGAATCAAGGACCAAGGCTTGTGCTTGAAGAATTCATTCCTCTAAATAAGAATTTGAACATCCAAGAATCCGAGAAGCCGTCGTCATCGGAGAAGGCGAGCTGGATGGTTTCGGCACAGCTTTGGAGTACGGAGGCTGGGAAACAGCAAACAATGCCATCTACTACGCCACTAAAAGAAACTATCGAGAATTCCTTCATCATAAGTTCGAAGCAGGCTTTGGAGGCCAAGCCACGCTGTGGAGGAGCATTCCACCCTTTCTGTAAGGATAAGAGAAAGAACTTACCACCTACTTCTACTTCTTGCTCGTCTACAGCGAGGATTCTCCCGGAGCTCGCTCTGGCTTCCGCGGATGACGAGATGGAGGAGAAGAAAAGCTCGGAGAATGGGAATGGAGAAAGAAATGGGAGGAGGGAGGGCTGTAGTAAGAGCGGAGGAAGTGATCTGCCGCATAATAAGGGAGGAGGAAGTAGTGCACCCGGCGAGGGGTCGCCGACGACTCAGAGAAAGGCAAGGCGGTGCTGGTCTCCAGACTTGCACCGGCGTTTCGTCAATGCGTTGCAGATATTAGGTGGTTCTCAAGGTATTTATTATATAACAGTATTTTATTTTCTCTGGTCAATAAATAGTCAATTGATTAATTTTTTTTATTTATAGTTGCTACTCCAAAGCAAATCAGAGAGTTAATGAAGGTTGATGGGCTCACCAATGATGAAGTGAAAAGCCATCTGCAGGTCTTCCATCTCCCTCTCCTTTTTCATTAAAAATCGTGTAAAACTAATTTCCTATGAAAAAAGAGCATTATTTCTTAAACTCGGCCATAAAATCAATTGTGAACATGTTAACAATTTGCGCATATATGAGGCATCGTCGTTGGTGTTAATTTTTTATCAGGTTTGAAAGCACTTTCTATGAGTAAGAAAAACAATACTTATCAAGCCACACTTATTTAAAAAAAAATCATAATGAGATATGATTCTATAACATTTTTAGCCCGTTAATTAGAAACGCCCTGCATGTTCCGCAGGTTCGAAAGAATTATCCTTTCCAACAAAATTTGCTTTATTTCTTATGTTCTAGGAAAAAAAATTCACTCAGGATTCTATATAAAAATATCTTTTGAGTACACACAGCAAACATAATGCAAAGCATGGTGTATATAAAAATAGATTAATCATCCTTCATGTACATCTCATTTCATTATATTGTAAGTAATCGCAGCAAATTTTCTCTAAGACAAACTAACTAATTTCTTATTTGAATTTTATAAAGCTAATGATTTTCTAGGCGAATATTTCAAATGCCTTCATCGCTTTATTTTTTTTAATAAAATTATTATGTTCCTCGGATTCGTTTTAACAACGTCCAACCATCCTATTAGCGCTTATTACCGTTTTTTAGACTATTTCTTTTTTTAGTTATATATTATAAAATCATACAAATAATAAAAAGTAAATGTTCTATAATTTTTTAAATTGCTGAGTATGGTAAAAAAATACTTGCTGATATTTTGATAAAGATATCCAACGATGCTAATTTTATATACTTAAGTTAGGAGAAAAAAAATCTTAAACAACTTGAAAGCATTGACCACAAAAGATTATTTACAATTTTCTTTTGACTAGCAGAAATACAGACTGCATACAAGAAGACCAATGCCAGCACCAACAGTAGCTCCTACGGCACCACAGCTGCTGGTATTGGGAGGCATTTGGGTTCCGCCAGAATACGCCACCTCAGCTGCTGCAGCAGCGGGGCCCACACTTTACGGCGCACATCCCGTGCCAGCACACTATTGCTCTTCGTCGCAGGTGCCTCAGGATTACTACCAGGTCCCCACACCACCAGCGCTTGTGGCAGCTGCGGCAGCACAATTTCACGGCCATCTACCTCCTCTTCACCGTGTGGGAGGCGCGAATCTTTACAAGGGTTGTCAAGTGTCGCCAGAATCGGATCACAGAAGTGACGGGGAGAGGTCGGAGAGCATCGAGGAGGAACAGGAGGGTCAGGAAAGGGAGGAGGAGGAGGAGGAGGAGGATGAGGAAGAGGCAAACGATAAAAATGTCGAGGAGAAGGAGCTGGTGGTGCTCGGCGAAGCGAAACCGCAAGACAACGACGCCTTGCTTAATTTCTGAGGTTCTCCGTTGGTTTCTTTTAATGGAAACTATTAGCAAAGTTTGTTGGGTTAGTATTTCTAGAAAGCTTCTATTTTGATATTCAAATCATTCTCTTAAGGAGAACAATCGGACGTGTTGTTCTAGGTGATTTTTGTTTCACTCAAGGAAAAGAAGTATTTGAAATTCGAACTCAAGAAGGAACTTTTTTTCTTGGTTTCTTTTCTCAGTAACTCTAACAAGTATTTTGGTAAGAGTAAAAGGACAATTTTAAGTAGCATGGGATAATATGCTATATGGTTGTGTCTTGTGGTTATTTTAGTCTTTACATTATTTGGTCAGCAAAATAACATGACAAAATTATTATTTTATTATTATTATTTTTTGGTTGTGAGGGGGGAGGGAGAGAGAGGAACAATTATTACGTCCTCTGACGGAGAGAGAGAGAGAGAGAGAGAGAGAGAGAGAGAGGAGGGCCCTATTAACTGACTATTAAATAGAAACTAAATGGTTGAGCTATATTAACTAAAAAAACATGTAAAATAAAAATAATGATGATGGAAAACATCACAAAAGAAATAGAACATGAAGCTAGAAACAAAATTAAAGGCTAGAGAACTAAAAGACTCAGATGTGACCAAAAATAACAAAAAAATAAAATAAAATCATTTATATTTAAATTAAGAAACATACCCCTAGTTGTTACAAACAACCTTCTAAGGTAAGTAGTTGACGATTGCTAAGAGGACCTTCCAAGGGGCCCAAAATGGGGATGCATGCCATTCATCATCATCCACAAAGAAATAGAGATCTAATGTTAGCCCAAAACAAAGAGCGGGGGTTCTAACACAAAAATGCTAGAAAATCCACAAGAACCAGATCAGCATAGTCCTCCCCTATGTCATTGGACATCCAAATTTACCAAGAGATAAAAACAGAAAGCTATAAATGAAAATTTAGTAGCACTTGCAGAAATAAAAAAAATTTAAGCCCCCTCATTACATAAATTAAATACTAACTATCGTTCAAAAAATGAAAAAAGAAAGCAGCGTTATACATTGATGAGGTGGCTGGCTTTGTCAAACTTACTCCAAGATGAAATCTTAGTAAGTAAAACATTTTTATGATAATACAAATCGTGGATACACAATTTTGTAAATCTCCATATTTTTTATTGTTTATTTCTCTCCATATGTAATATTGAATGCAACAAGAGGATAAAAAGTATAATTTTCTTTCCACAACATTGACCTATTGCATCTCATTAATTTGATCTATGTAAAAAGGCATTCATCCATGGCATAATGATGGGGATTGTAGAGTAACCTATAGAATTGTAAAATAATTTAGGGTTCTATCAATCCCTATGAATAATTACATTTTCTTTGATATAAAAATTATTTTAACCCTACTTAATATACCCAAGTAAAAAATGTCAAATCAAATAATATAGTGATAGAGTAGAGTATCGATCCCACGAGGAAGATATGCTAACTTGCAAACACTAGTATTGTCTATTAAAAATACAACAATTATCTTACTCTATGAAGAAAGACGTTATGGAGATTGAATAACTTAAATAAAATTTGAAAAATATTTGAATACTCTATATGATTATAATGTTTTGAAATGATGAGTAAGCATTTTTACCTAATAATTCTCTTTTAATTGTGATGATAGTTAGAGTATATGCATTCTATATCTCTATTAAGCTTGTAAAAATAGAAGATGTCCCCCAACTTCTTATGGTTTTATCATCTCGATAAGAATTTAGTACATTTCATAACCTATGCCTAGGAATGATGCATATTAATTCAATATTCTTGGTTATTCTTGGTTTCCTCCATCGAAGCCCCACATTACACCTAAATTACCTACACATATACTCACTATGTACATTACATTAAGATTTGATAATATTGAAAATATCTTTTTGATTAAGAAAATATATGTTTGATCATTTAAGGAATAAGAGAACTCATTAGTGCTACATATGATATTACATCATCAATAAAAAATTAGAGAATTTAGCCAGACATGGAGTAAAAATTCAAGAAAACTCATTTTCATTAATAGCTTGATGAAAATAAGATACAGATAGATATCACTAGAATGGTTCACTGGATCTCCTCTATAAGCCTCCTCTTTACTTACAGATTTACTTCCACAAACACAAGCCAAACACTCTACTGATGGTATCAAGTACTTCTCTCCCTTAGTTGTCAGCCGAAGGAAAATTTAGAGCAGCACTCTGAATTATACTAATTTTTTTTAAGTGACTGAACTCTCTTATAAATATAACACAATGACTATTTATAGACAGAAAGTAAGCATCTAGCACTACAGCACTGGACAGTTCTTCACTGATGTGCCTAATAAACGAACTAAAAGAGAGAGAGAGAGAGAGAGAGAGAGAGAGAGAGAGAGAGAGAGAGGGCCCTATTAACTGACTATTAAATAAAACTAAAGGGTTTTACTAAAGAAACATGTAAAATAGAAATAATGATGAAGTAAAGCATCACGAAAGAAATAAAACATGAAGCTAGAAACGAAATTAAAGTATAAAGAACTAAAAGAATTAGATGTGGCCTAAAATAACAAAAAAATTTATTTATAGTTAAATTAAGATACATACCCGTTGCTACAAACAACCTTCTAAGGTAAGTAGTTGACGATTGCTAAGAGGACCTTCCAAGGGGCCCAAAATGAGGATGCATGCCATTCATCATCTTCCACAAAGCAGTAGAGATCTAATGTTAGCCCAAAACAAAGAGGGGGGTTCTAACACAAAAATGCTAGAAAATCTACAAGAACCAGACCAGCATAGTCCTCCCCTATGTCATTGGACATCCAAATTGCCCAAGAGATAAAAACAAAAAGCTATAAATGAAAATTTAAGTAACTCTTGCATAAATAAAAAATTTAAGCCCCCTCATATATAAATTAAATACTAACTATCGTTCAAAAAAATGAAAGTAGCATTGTACATTGATGAGGTGGCTGGTTTTGTCAAACTTACTCCAAGATTAAATCTTAGTAAGTAAAACATTTTTATTATAATACAAATTGTGGAGATACAATTTTTCAAATCTCCATATTTTTTATTGTTTATTTCTCTTCATATGTAATATTGAATGCAACAAGAGGATAAAAAGTATAATTTCCTTTCCACGCCATTGACCTATTGCATCTCATTAATTTGATCTAAGTAAAAAGGCATTCATCCATGGCATAATGATGGAGGTAGTAGAGTATCCTATAGTATTGTAAAATAATTTAGGGCTCTATCAATCCCTAATAATAATTACATTTTCTTTAATATAAAAATTATTTTAACCCTACTTAGTATACCCAAGTTAAAATGTCAAATCAAGTAATATAGTGATAGAGTAGAGTATCGATCCCACTAGGAAGATATGCTCACTTGGAAACACTAGTATTGTCTACTAAAATTACAACAATTATCCTACTCTATGAAGAAAGATGTTATGGAGATTGAATAACTTAAATAAAATTAGATAAAGATTTGAATACACTATATGGATATATTGTTTTGAAATGATGAGTAAACATTTTTACCTAATAATTCTCTTTTAATTGTGATGATACTCAGAGTATATGCATTCCTAGATCTCTACCAAGCTTGTAAAAACAAAAGATGTCCCCCAAATTCTTATGGTTTTATCATCTCGATAAGAATTTAGTACATTTCATACCCTATGCCTAGGAATGATGCATATTAATTCAATATTCCTTGTTATTCTTGGTTTCCTCCATCGAAGCCCCACATTGCACCTAATTTACCTACACATATAGTCACTATATACAATACATTAAGATTTGATAATATTGAAAATATCTTTTTGATCAAGAAAATATATGTTTGATCATTTAAGGAATAAGAGAACTCATTAGTGCTACATATGATATTACATCATCAATAAAAAATTAGAGAATTTAGCCTGACATGGAGTAAAAATTCAAGAAAACTCATTTTCATTAATAGCTTGATAAAAAGAAGATACAAATAGATATCACTAGAATGGTTCACTGGATCTCCTCTATAAGCCTTCTCTTTACTTACAGATTTACTTTCAAAAATATAAGCCAAACACTCTACTGATGGTATCCAGTACTTCTCTACCTTAGTTGTCAGCCTAAGGGAAATTTAGAGCAGCACTTTGAATTATACTAATTTTTTTAAGTGACTGAACTCTCTTATAAATGTAACACAATGACTATTTATAGACACAAAGTAAGCATCTAGCACTACAACACTGAAAAGTTTTTCACTGATGCGACCAATAAATGAACTAATGCCACTATGCTATCTATCTTGTTTTGTCGCGATGCTTACTGATGTGGATCGATTACTTAGTGAATATTCACATCATTTCACTGACAGATCATGTCCTTGGGATGTTATAACTGCTACACCATGGTGCTGCTAGCTTTCGAACGCTATGGAACCAAAAGAGCAATTTTGGTGATGAGGCATTATAGAGTGTATTACTACAGTGCTTTCCAATATAGAACATAGGAATTCAAAGCTAAACTTTTGATGTAGGGATACTATCTAATAAGGAAGTTGGTACTACAATGTCAATATTTAGGTGCTCCTATAATATTTTTGATGGTGGTGCGGCGTTGTTTGCTCCGAGACCATGCTATTATATGAAATTTAGAATTTTTTATATTTTCTATATTTTTTCTATACAATATAACTAAAATAATACATTTTCACTAAAAATATAATATATAGATAAAACTTTATTTACACTTATTAATTAAGAGAAAAAAATATTGGAAAAGATAAATCGCATTCAAGTAACCATTTTTCTATGGCTCTCATCATCTATGTTGCAAAGAACACACCTATTAGGCACATGAATATTGCATATGGGTAGAATATCATTAGTTATAAGGCCTTCTATCATAATCAACCATGCAAAAGATTAATATCATAGAGAAAATCTCTTATGACAAATAAACATTGCCAACCCACTAGTTGTAAGTTCTCATGGAAATGAAGTGTGTATATTTTGAAGGGTGGAAATTTCACTCCATCCTAGCATGTAAAGGAATTTCTTGATAAAGAGATGTAGGTGATGGTGATATCCAAATTGACTTGAGGAGGGAAATAAGAACGTATATGCCAGCAATATTGATTAATAATACTACCCATAGAGTGCGTGAGGTAGGACTTAGTAAAA